TAGATCATTCACAATACTTAGTTATATAATGTATATATAACGATATATACATATACATATATATTTACTAATAATTTTCTTATTTACAAATTAAATCAATTGAAAATCAGAAAATTTTAGGAAAACAGTGATTAAAAGGCAGAACGAAGGTAGAATCGAAATTCAAATATGCGTAGATCGCGAAAAATCAATATTCGGTATAGTCTTTGAACAGACCTCGTATATACAACCATTTATAAAAAATATATATAGAATGATTAAAATAAATTTAATTTAAGCAGAACTCAGATTCGCCTCCATTTAAGGCACCTAAGCCATTTTTTGACCCATACTTAGATCCTTTAAGAATCTGCAAATATGCACGTCTGCAAATCATTTAATATACATATTTAAAGTATACAAGGGAATAGTAATTCATCTAATGGAACTCTCCAGCTCTGTTAGCAGTAAATTCGTATGCATAGTTGAGTTCAATGTCAATTAGCTAAGAGTTAAACTAAGGCAACCATTTATTTCATTATATACAGTTAAGCAGCAAACAAGAGACGCAGACAGATGCTTATTAGAATATACCTTATTAGTCCAACATTCTATATAGGAATAATACTCCACAGTCCAATGAGACGTGGCAAAAAACGCGCGTGACACAATTTTGCCTAATTGAATTTGGAGACACTGATTATGCTCAGTGATATACAAGTATATATATATAGTTTATACATATATATCTGCTCGGAGAATATACAAAAATTCATGAGCAACCTGAAACGAAGTCAAGTAATTAAAATGGAAAAGATTTACAGTTCATCGGATCTAATTGCCAGATGAAATATGATTTCCTTTGACACTGAGCGCACTTTACAGTTTCTAAAAAGCAACGGTGATTGCCTTCGACTGTAGCCAAGCTCAATTTGTTGCTCTTACTACTAATATTATTATTATTACGCTCGCTCGCGAATGAAAAGAGTATATCTATTATAATTTTGATGTCTTCTATAGACTTGCTCTACATACAGCTCTACTCTATAGGCAGTCCACTGAGAGACTTTCTCTGCAAATACACCTCCTCTGTCTTTTCCACAGATGGTCTTCTTTTATAGATAAATGTCGCTCTTCTCAGGTAGGCCTACTTTAGAGGAAGACGCTTTCTGCAGATAGACTTTGTCAAGGGATACAGCTCCTCCAATTTAGCTTTTTATGCAATGAGAATGTGCATTATGCAGTCGGTTATGCCCGATTGCTCTTACAGGCTATTACTATTATGATTTAGTTTGTATTCGCCTTTCTGGCAGCCTCGCCTAAAGTATATCAAGTATATAGTATATGGTCTCAGCATTCAATTGAGCCGCAGCCATCGCCGCTGCCGACTGCAAATGAACAGAAGCAATAGCCGTATATCTAACTCAAGTATCTCATTTCATAGTCTAATTAGTGCGCTTAGAATTTCAGTAAAACATAGATACATAGATACATACATAGCTGTGTTTGTATTTGGATGAGCCAGCGCCTGAAAAGCAATGTCCCGCAACAAGAATTATAGCAATAATAATAACAATAAATAATGTACATTTGCCTTGCCTGCTGGGCTTGGGAATATTCTGGCCTTGAAATCGATTTACTTACGCATCAGCTATATCATACATCTATGTATGTATTTGTATATGGATTTGTGCATGTATTTGTATATATGTATTTTATAAATTCCTGTTTAATATTTCATTTGCGAGAAAAGTTTGTGTTGACAGCGCGACTTGGCATCGATGTTAGCTTTGTTTATTTACAGTGGTGTTTCTATTGAGCCCTCTGTTTGGATTATTATTAACGAATATCTGATTTAGTCGACTCAAGTTTCTTCGGTGACATATTTCAATACATAAACAAATATAGATTTACATTTATATAATGGCTTATGTTAAGTTTAAAGTCCTTTGACTTTGACAGAGACGCTGTTGACGTAATATAATTTATTGATAGCGCTGGCTATCCTTAACTGCAATCAATAGAGCCTGTAAATTGCCTTCTTAAGCAGTAAAATTATCTGCAGTCAGTCCATGACTCATAGACTAGAACATAAGCTAGACTGTCTGTTGCTACGCCATCCCATTGGCGATGCTCAAAATTATCACAGAGTGAGAACAAACGTCATCGAGTCTTATTGATGAAGAACCTACGCAAAAAGATCACGTTTTTGCCTAATTTGTATCATTATCATTATTAGCATGCCTATTGGCAAATAATCTGTATAAATTATCTTTAAAAAACCGTGTTATAGAGTAGAAAACTCTCCTTCAAGGTGGCTTTCAGTTGGCTTTCACATGCAACTAATTTATTTTTTTTTTTTTATGTATATTATTGAATATATATGATTTACGTTTTACTGTTATTTATTGCTTAATATGCTTTTGCTTTTGTGATAGAAACAATATTTGATACCAATGCAGAGCTGCTCCAGTTCAGCTAAGGAATGAAACAAAGACTAATAATCTGCAGAGTTTCGTTTACAATTAATACATGAAATTAATTGGCAAGCGATTCAATTCAATATGAAAGTCTACCCACTCTGGTCAAGATATTCATGTTACTTTTATTGATTATTATTTTTATTTTCTGTATATATTTATAAAAGTTGCAATTGCATAAAATATGTACAATTTTTCATCTGACCTGATACCAGAAATGGCCGAATCAATCAAACATTTCTCACAGAGTCTCCAAGCGATTCTCTAGAGAAACAAAAGCAATTTGTGTCAAATGACAATAATGAGGCATTCAGAGATAAGTGCAATGGCTATGGAAATTGCGCTTTACTCACGCTCTTATTGATTGAATTGAGTTTTATGAATGGCTGTGCAGGCTACTTAAAGTACACTCTGAGAAATTTAATAATATAAATGTAGAAAATTAAGGCAATCAAAAATTAAGATGCGCTAAATTGAGAGGTCAGCTCTTGCCTTTATTTTACTGCCCAATTAAAGCTGGCAAGTTTAGATAAAACTCGTATTGGGTATAAAGTTTTTCTCTCAGTGTATTATTCAAACTGTAGCCAATGCTATTGATAGCCATTAATTGCCTAAAATAGTTTTATAGGTACTATTTTAGTCGTTGCATCTGCCTGACTTATGCAACGGGTTTTTTTTATAGCCTTTACCATGCACATGGGTATATACATATGTATATATTTCGATACATCTATCTTATTCATGTAGGCATAGGTATTCTCATTCGCATTCACATCAGAGATCTCTGTTCGTTGCGCTTTATAAATGGCACACAAATCGACCATTTCCTGCTCTACGCCCACCAAGCGCCGGCGAAATTGTCGAATTGTCGCTCGACTTTTTTGTTCCCAGCCGAGCCGAAAAAAACATGAAATTAGTAAAAAGCGTGCGAAAGAGATGGCTGCTATAGATTACGTCAAGCTATCCGCTGGCTCTGGCAGCATAACGGATTTCGTATCGCATTGGCGATGTTTTTTATTTCCATTTGAATTGATATATTTGATTGCAATGCCAATTGCCGAACAGGGCGTATGCGCAATGGCTCGTAACGCCACCTTGTGGCCGTGAGTAGAACTACAATGCTCTTATGAAAATGACTTCAATGTGTTTGCCGTGCATATCAACAATAGATGGCGCTAGTTGGCATATGAAATATTTATTTAGTTGCTTTATATCTAATTTGCAATATTGTTGCTCAATAAAATATGAAATGTTTAAATAATTTTAGTCTAATAATTTGATAGATTATATTAATTGATGCCCAAAATATTAGTACATTGATGCGCAGGGCGTATGTGTAATGCTACGTAGTGACACCTTGCGAATGTGAGCTAAATTAGGGCTGCAATGTATGTTAAGTTTACGCTACTTTGCTACAGGTGGCGCTTTTGTAAACGCTTACTGATATCCCATTTAAAATGGAAAATCTGGATATGATAGATATAAGATTAAATTTAATTAATTTATTAAAGAAAAATTAAAAGAACGAATAATGTTAATTTACTGTTAATAAAAATGTCTTCGCCTATGTTAATCCACTACTAATTAATATTTTTCACTCTGCTACTCATTTCCATTCATCAGTTTTCTTACTTACTTATGCATTCTGATGTCATGTATTAGTTTCCTTGTATGTTTCAGCCCTAAATCATGCTACAGAAAATGTATAAAAGAACTGTAAAGCGCTGGCTGTTGACAAATACTGCAACTTTTTCTGTAATTTTAACAAAAGCTGGCTAAAAGTATGCAATTTTGATAAATTTAAATAGTTTTCTTCAGTTTCGTTTAAAACTATATGTTGTTAATAATTGTAGAGAAACCATACAGATTAAATTATTGAATCATGTACATAAATATAATATACAGAAAATTAGACATATTGAAGAATTAAATAAAAAATCTTGTAGATCTACATTTAGATCTTAATACAAAGTTGATTATTTCCAAAATATAAATTTCATCTTAGCGCTTAGAGCACCTGCCAATATTTCAATGTCTTCAAAGATGTCAAGGGCTCTCTGTGTATGGGAGCTTTGCATATTAAAAAACCAATAGTTTCTCTCTAAATTTATTAAATCTTTGATCATTCAAAGACTGCGCTCTTTTATTTATTTTACTAATCTTTTCCAATTGCTTAAGAAAAAAACAAAACAAAAATACATTAGACAAAAGTAAGTACAGCTAACTGACAGTAATATTAGATGAACTCTCGATGATTGACTGATTGACGATTGATGCATGTAACTATTGGCTAATTAAATATAATTAGTGTATGATTAGGCATAGTTCGAGCGCTTAAGTACATATGCTTACAGCTTCAACTCAAATTAACTAATTGCGACTACGACTAATGGCAGCGTGTTTAAATTATTTAAATTACGACGAATGCCGATGAATTGAAAAATGAATTTAAATTACAAATAAACTACGATGTGTATGTGTGTGTGTGTGTGTGTGTGTGTGTGTGTGTGAACTACTATTAATTGTCTGTTCATTTTGAAGTGAACCTATATATAGTTAGATAGAGAGGGAATTAGAGTAGCCTTTGCTTGGTAACTATCTGCAGCCGCATGACTCAACGACCATATTAGGCAAGGTCTTGATTGTCGCTGAGTTGTTGGAGTCCAGCACGACCAACTGCAACGAGGAATACTGTTTGGCGGTACAGCAGGGTATCAGATCCAGCGGTTTGCGTGTACCATTTGTTGAAAGGATTTTCTGTAAGCGAAACCAAAAACAGAAATCAAATAAATATTTCAATTTCAATATTGCAATCACAATTTGAAACCTACCAGCAATGAGCTGTGATGCGATGCTGCTTGAGCAACGCTCGCCACGGAGCTGCAGGAGCCGCGGCAGAAGTAGGCATCGTAGCCCTTTGGCTGCAATATCCAGTTGTCCCAGCCGATGTCGGCGAATGATATATAGAGCTTCTCCCGACAGCATTCGGTGACGCCGCTCGAGCAGTTGATATTGCGTTTCTGTCGCGATTTACTGCGTCGATTCTGCGTGTCGATCATGATGAACGGTCTGTAGTTCTTGTTCACCGAGATGATCTCCTCCATGCTCGCAATGTCACACGATTCGCAGGTGATCTGTATCAGATGGCTGAGGTCGTGATTGCCAAACCAGCGCTTGATTGGCCACTCAATGTTGATTTTCATCCATTCATCTGTAATGCAATTGTAGAAAGGAAATAGATGTATTAGTATACCATTTCGTAATTTTCTATAGAGCACTACCTAACAGCTTTCTCTTAAGTTCACTTGAACCTCTTCTTTTGCTGTTTTTAACAGCTGTAACTTAACAGCCCATTAAAACATTGTAAACTGTTATTTCCACAGGGGCTATCACAAAATCTAATACCTCGCAACTGTGCTTTCATGAGAGCTAGCTCAGCATTTGTTTTTTTCTTGAGTCACCAATGTTAATTGCCTTTTTTATAATATTTGTGTATATGCAAATATTTGTTGTTGTTCTTGGCTCACCTTAGCTTATCGACAACTGGTAAAATTCTAGGGAGACTAAAGTTCAGTTTGTGGCTTTCACAAAAAATATTTTGATTTCGTAGCCAAAAAGTTATTCACCCCCACAAATCCCGGATAGCGCACAGTGGCCCGTACAAACAGAGCTGCTATCGCTGATCTTTCGACCAACAGCTCAACGAAAACAGTTGCTAATGGGCCAAGCACTTATCGCATTATTCTAGTCCACTTATTCTATAGATTTCGATTTCGATTTCAATCTCGAATTCGAATCGAATTCTCTCGCTTACCTTGCACATCCACCGACTGTATGGCTATGGTCTTGGCCAAGGGCAAATATTTTGTGTCGAGCTGCTGCTCCACCTCGGATACGACCAGGGTCTGTTGCTTCTGCTGGTGCCCGTTCGACTGGCTCCCGTTGCTAGACTTGGAGAAGTTCTGCTTGTTCTTGTAGAGCCACAGCACTGCGCTGCTCACATCGAAGCCGTCTGAATCCATATCGTCGATCTTAAAGCTAAAGCACATCGAGGGATGTGCGCCCAGGCGACGGCATTCGGTTTCTTCTATAATTAGGAAAATAGAATTGATTAGCAATATTCCAATATTAATGTATAATGAATCATACTATAGTGATACTCTCTACTCTCTACTCTCTACTCTCTACTCTCTATACCTTATTTTCTATATTCTCTATTCTCTATATTATCTATCATATAATATAGGAATATAGAGTCCCAATTCCGTATTCCCTATTACCTTTTCTCTAGCCCCTATTTCATATTCCTTACTACCTATTTTCTATTCTCTATTCCCTATTCCGTATCTGTAATCTCTACACTCTATTCTCTACAGTCTACAAAAGTCTTTCTTAAATCTCTATTTAGTAAAATCTGCCATCTATATTTTCCATATTCCCTTACAGAAATGAGGATTTCTGTACTTTCAATTTCTCAACTCTCTGTAGTATTCTCAATTTCGCTCTCAAAAATTCACATATAAAAAAAAGATTATTGTAGCCTGGTTTTTGGACTTACCTCTTTGGAGGAGTATAAATTTCTGATTGGTGCGCGCATAATAATCATCGTAGTCCTTGTTCTTAGTGGACTCTTCTGAATTCTGCAGAGTGACTCCCTCGAAAATGGGGCGTGGCAGCTCAACGGCGGACACATTGGGGCTCTCCTTGAGGCGCAGCTTCTCGAGAATTTGCTGCTTCACAAATTCGATGCGAAGGCGACGCAACTCCTCCTCCGTGATGTGCTCCACCTGGCGATTGCTCTCGCACTTGGGACAGCCTCGCGAGGCGGTGCCGTTCGTATGGCTGCTGGCACTATGAGCCGAAGCGGAATCCTCCAGCACAATTGGCGGCGGTGGCTCGGCCAGGCTCTGCTGCAGCTCGTTGCGAATGTAATCCTGTGAATCCTCATGCTGCATCAGGTCATCAGCGGGCGCGTCATTGAACATGGGCGGAAACAGCTCGGGGAGGTCCTGGTTTTGGTCCTGAGCTTGGTCCTGTTGCTCCTCCTTGTCGTCGAACTGATAGCCCTGGCTGAGCAGCTGCCACAGATTGGGACTGGTTTTCAGCTGTGTGGCAGAGACGCGATGATAGCTGCGCTCCTGCTCCAGCTGATGCTCCCGCTGCCTGCGCAGATGTCGCCTCAGTCGCTGCTCGTAGTGCAGCTGATTCAGTTCCTCCTCCTCGCTGGTCGGATCCGGCGCTATGCGTTTCGGCTGACGATCGCGCTGCTGGCGTGTATGATGCTGCTGCAGCTGCTGAACGTGTTGATGCTGCAGCTGCTGCGAGTGCTGATGCGGCTGATGCCTCGAATGGGGATGAGCGCGCACCAGGGGCAGGCTGCCCGCCTCGTCCGAGCCGCTGGGATGTGAGCGCGCATAGATGTTGTTGTTCTCCAAGGCCAGGCAGAGGAGCAGAGCCAGGGTCATATAGTACTTGGCCATCTCTTTGACTTTATTCTTCAGCAAAACTTGACTCGAATCGAAACGAAACGCGCTAATTGGCCTTAAAAAAACACACACTTTTCTTAATTGTTATCTGTTCGGCAGCAATTGAAACTCAATGTTCGTAGTCCTTTGGCTTACAAAACTCATAGATTTGCAGCGTTGCGCACTAATTGTTGCCGTTTTGTTAACTTGTTGTTGCACTTTGTGTAACTATTAATTAATGTCAATTTTTGTTGCAATATTTCCGTTATATCCTTTGATTATTTTAATCTATGCTGCAGCATAGTGTAGATTTTAGATTGAAGTCAAATTGAATTTTTTTTAACTGCAAGTAGAGAGAAGTAGAAGAAATACGTTTAGAAAATGTTTTTATACTTTAAAAAAAAAGTTTTTTTAAAATTAATGCAAGTGATTAAAAATTAAATGAAATAGAAAATCATATATATCAAATGAAAGAATAATCGAAATTAAATAAAAATTAGATAATATTAAAATTAAAACTCATAGGGTTATTTAATATTTTTGTAAATCCTTTAATCCTAATGAAATCTAAAAACTATAGATAATTCTAGAGCTATAGAAAAACCCCAATTATAAGTTCAATTATATTGCCAGCATGTCATTATTCTATTAAAATTACATCAGTTTTTCATGGCATAAGAAACCCATTTTCCAATCAGCCACGCGGCAAAGTGCAGGTGAATTTTTATTTATATAAAAAAAAAAAAAAAAAAAATTAAAAAAATATACATATATATTTAATTGACATTATCGTCGCCGCTCGGAAACTGCGCAAAAATTGCTAATAAAAGTATAATTAATAAATTGCGCCTGCAGCAAAGGCGAAGTCGAAGGTGATTAAACTGAATTGGATGAGACGTAGGTGAGTGAAGCGCAGCATCACGTATACGCCGCATTGATCAGGCAATTAATTAATTGAGAATATGGACCACACGTACCGTTAGAGCACATTAATTTATAATTTGATTGACTTCGTCACGTAGCCAGAGAATCAGTTTATAGTGGAACCAGCCGGGGTCAAGACAAGCTGCGAACCCGGACACGAAACACACGAAGCACAAGAAACACACGAAGCACGAAATACGAAATGAAAATCAGCGCAAATTGTATTTTATTTTTTTTTTTTTTTCGTTTTGCTGATTTTAGTGCTTATTACTGCTGCTAGACTTTGCCAAACGACAGTGCAAACGAGTTGTGAATGAATGAGCCGCCCGTCTGATTAGTAGAAGAATTTATGTCTTCGCTGCAGTTGTGATTGATCGCTGTCGAACAGCGAACGAACGTAAGAGGGAGGGAGAGAGAGAGCGCGCAGTCGAGGCGCTGTCGTTCACCGCTTCGTATGACACGAGCTTATTCGAGCCGGCACACGAATGCGGCACGAACGTTCGTTCGGGCGATCGCTCGTACGTTCGGTTGCTCGTTTCGTTTTTCCCACAGCCAGCCTAGCCGCAGCCCCTTCTGGTGAACAGCCCCCCTGCTCTCTATGCGCGCGTACCACGGCGGCAGACAAGACAAATTCATATGCAAATATTCTGTCTCATTGCATCAGCTTAAGAAGCCGTCGACTGCGACGTCGACGTGGACGTGGACGCAGACGCGGACGCAGCAGCAGCTGTGCAAAAGACCGACACAAAAAGAAAATCAATCTGCATAAATTGTGTAGTTAATTTATTTTGGTTCCGTTTAATTTGATTTGATTTTTGGTCATTTTTGCACCTGTTGCCTTGCCCAATACGTAAATTTTTGCGCATTCAATCAGCCACGCTTTGATTGTCCATCAACATGTGTGTCAATCAGTTAACGAGGCTGATAAGCGCCGAAATGCTCAATTCGCAACAAAAAGAAAAGAAATGAATAAAAAATATTCAGATTATTTTTATGATGCCCACATGGAATATGTCACATACTACGCTCTGTATAAATATTTAATGTATGTATGTGTGTATGTATGTATGCATGTATGTATGTATATCATAATTGCTCAAGTCAACGCTACTCATATGCATATATGTACAAACATAACTGTATTATAATTGCCTGTATGATTGATGCTTAATCGCTTTGCACCGAGAGCTGAGCTAATCAAACTGATTATGCTGCGATTAAGAAACGGAAACAGCAACAGGCGCATAGCTAATGATCCAGTTCGAATTAATTGACCTTGTTACGCTAAATATGTAAATATACACATACTTACACATATATACAACATATTGAAAGAAAAATGTGTGTTCGAGTCGACTTTTTTCCGATATAAATTTCATCAGCCAAGTTAAGAAAAGTGAACGTGAGACATGGCAAAAATATAAGAAATCAGCAAAGATATCATTTTATGTTATCTCAGCATAGACAGAAAGAGAGAGGGAGAGATAGTAAGAGGTCAGCTAATAAGCTCAAGATCGTATTCTATATATGTATAAGTAAGCCAAAATATATATATACAAAAAAAAAAACAAAAATATTTTAAATTGGATAAATTCAGATTTGTTCTACAATTTAATTTATGTTTATAATTCCATTTTATAATATTGATTACAATATCTTGTTGCCTACTTATCAATAGTTTATCAAACTATTATCACAACCCAAAAGTATGCTAAAGATATGAAAACCAAGATCTTTGTAAATTATTACAAGCCATCAAATCAAACTGAATTGTGATCGGCTCATATTTAATGATGATCTCTAAGTGTTTTTCCACAGTTAAAACTGACGTCGATTACAGCATTAACGTTAATAGCGAGCAACACGTGACGTGCGCCCTGCCCCATTTGACGTAACAATCCAGCACGATAATGATCGGAAAGGGTACCAAACAGGTCAAATCAAACAAGTTGCAAATGAGCTGCCAATCAGAGGCGTGCGAACGGATCAAGCTGAGGCTGAAACAGCGACAGCAGCTGAGGCAGAGGCAGAGGCAGAGGCAGCGACAGCGACAGCGCTGAAGAAGGTTACAAGTTGATTCGACACAGTCATTAAATGGAGCAGCGTTGGGCGCTGCGACGCAGTCAAACAAGTTGGAGTCAACGACGTCATTGAACACGCAAGCAAAACGTGATGCAGTCGACGCACCTCACACACACACACACACTCAAACACTTACATATACGCAGAGGGAGCAGGGGAGAGTGAGAGAGCGCATCAGCAGAAGTTGGAAGTAGAGTTACGCTGCACGCTGGGTGCAAAGTACAACTGAAGATTGGCAACGCCAACTTCTGGGGGTTTTCCATGCGCCTGGGCGCCAACCATATCATTAAGCGCTTTGATACCCCCAACGCCAGCAGAGCTGCAGTTGAATGCACTTTCTGTTTTGACTTGACAATTTTTGTGTGTATTTCATTTTTGGTGAATTAATCTTAACCCTCAGTCTCTCTCTATCTCTCTCTCTCTCTCTCTCTCTCTCTCTCTCACTCACCTACTCGTTCACTTTCTGTATTTCTGTTGCTCTTGATCTGTAGCTAAATGCGCGCTGTACTGTGATCAGCGTATTGGAGCATGCCTCAGTGTGAACTTTGGAATCGCACACGATGGCAGATTGCTCCGATTTGCAGGTTTATAGGCAGCGAAATACTTTTTCTAAAGAATTTCTGTGTCATTTCGCATCTCAAATAAATCATGGCAATAAATCTTATATAAGCCCCACATTTTTGGTTATCTCTTTCTCTTTCACTCCCATCTTTTTCTTTTTGCACACGTTTGCCCAAATACGCTGAAGGTTGTTTGAGGTTATGTTCGCCATCATGGTGGTGGTGGTGGTGGTAAATTCAAAATGGCGATGCTGTCTCAGTGTTGCACACTCATCAATCAATCAATCAATCAGGCTACGCTAATCTATTAGAATTTGCATGTTAATGAGAGATTCTTGACTTGATATGAAAATGTTTCTTATAAAATAAATTAATTAAAAAGAAACAAAAACAGAAAGTTGAAAATCTAAAAAATGTCTTAAAAAAATCAAGCAATTATTATTTATAATATACTTTCTATATAAAGTGCAGATACACTTTATATAAATATAGTTGCAATATAACTTGAATTTTTCATTTTCAAATTTATATTATGTATTTCCCACAGTTTTCTATTTATCACTCAGCTTTTTTAAGTATCTATGTACTCTTTACATATTATATTTATCTATATATATCCGTATATTTTTATATTTTTTTAATCTCCAGCACACGCCAAAGTGGTTAGCATGTGATTTTTATACATTTAGCCGAAAAAAAAAAAAAAATTAAAATACTAAATAAAAAAGTGAGCTGTCAAGTCTTAAGCTTTGTGGGCCATTTGTTAAAATTTATTTAGCATGCTTTTATAATTAAATGAACAAAAATCGAAAAAGAACTTATATAACTCACCTCTTTGGGCAATCCTTTATAGTTATATGTATTTCTTTTAAATTAATTATTTATAGGCTATTTCAATTTGGGTACGTTGTTGTTGTTTATTTATAATGTTTATTTGATTGGCTATTTATTGATTGTGCAAATCATTTTCACAAAATATTCATTGTTATTAATTAGCTATTTCACCATGTGAACTTTTTGCACTTCTCCCAATCAGCTGTATATAGTACATATATAAATATATACATGTATAATATTTGAAAAAATATTTTTATTTTTGATTATGTTCAACTCTTTTTAGTTTGTTGTTAGATTGTTTTAAGAATAATATTTAACACTTTTTTTTTATTCCTTTGTCCATCAATTCTTTGGCACCTCTGTTTTTTATTTTGGCTCGATCCGTGCAGTCAGACCGTCTGCGTATGAATAATTCGATGCTGGGCAAGTAGCAACCGCAAAGGCTGCTGTGGCCGCCTCTGCTGCGGCGCTGCTTGCCTAGGTTCGGTCCGGTTCTGGCCTGGACTTGTGCGAGCTTCAAAAGAAGGTGATCGAGAGAGAGAGAGAGCTAGAGAGCGACAGAGAGAGATAGTGCGTATTGTTGTGCTGTTGTCTGATAACAGCGATATCAAAGCCAGGCACATTAAATGATGCGCAATTTTCAATTACTCAAGCAACGAGAGAACGAGAGTGAGCGATAGAGAGAGCGAGAGCGGGAGAGTTTGGAAATTCTGATCTGATAAGAAAATGTTAATTGTGCTGTGGTTGTTGTTGTTGCTGCTGGCGCTGGCGCTGGCTTTCCCCCAACGATGAATTTGGATCTGCGCGGCGGTGGCCGTCCGTTCGCAACATGTGCGTTTGAGCACACGCTCCAGCACGTTCGAGCCAGCTGTTGCATGTCGAGCTCATACAAAACGTGA